GGGGGGGGTCTTCGACCTGAAAAATCAGGGGTTAGGATTTGCACCCGGTCGAAAGAAACCTTGCTATCGCAAGAGTAACTCCAGCTAGCTTCGCTAGCTTTCGTGAAAAAGAGCATTCAAACATTATTCTTTGTTTACAGTATCCAACATTGACCGCATACGGACACATGTTTTTGACCATTTTGGGTGCTCCTGAGTGCACCCCTACACAGAAGGGGATGCAGTTAGAATACAAACATTATCCCCGTCTTGCCTGAGCAGCAGACCTCTCCAATAGCTCGGCGGTTGCCCGTACATGGGCCGACGCTGAATTCATCGTGTATACTGTAAAGGGTATTGCAAGTTGTGTGCTATTCACTGCATGCTGCTGCCTGCCATGCATTTCTTTGTTGGATAGCAGTGTCATTCTGGCTTGATGCAATATGGTACACTGAGGTATACTTTGGTACAGTATGTGCACAGCATCACATTCAGTAGTCACTTCACACAGCTTTGAGGGCATGCTGGAGCAGAGGTTCACGCATGGCGTCTCCGTACAATCAGTATTCTATCTGCACGTGCCATATTCTATCTGCAAATGTCAAAAACCCTGCTCTCTGAAAGTGCGAAAAATTTAATTGATAAATTCTATAGCTTCAGTATTCTAAGTGCTAGTCTCCTAGTGTAAAATGAGAGAAAATGGAAGAGACGTAGTAGATGCAATGATATGCACAGATGTGAGATTTGTAGATGATATGATTCAAACGCCCCTCTTTCTCTCTTTAGGACGAACCCCGCGCTCAGACGCTCTCAAGAAATTGCCTTTCAGCATGGGTGTCTTCCCAACAGAAAACTTGGCTTACTATACTGCAGAAATAGCAAACAAGCTGTGATGCCCTCTAGCCAGGAAATAACAAACAAATTGGCCTGTCTGCAAATATTACATCATATTCAAACAGCTTTTTGGCAGGAAAACTCACTTACGCTGTTGCAAAACCCCAAGGTTCCTGGGCGAAAGCCTGGTTCCAGGCTTCCAGGATCAACCTTTCGTTGGTTAGCTTCCAGCTATCCAGAAAAAATATCTACTCGTCATGAAAATCCTCCTCATCATCACCCACACCAGCACCGCCACCACCACCTCCGCCATAGTACTTCGACACAATGGGTGCGCAAATCCCTTCGACCTCCTTTTGCTTCTCCTTGATCTCCTCCACATCAGCTTCTGGATTGGAGTCAAGCCATGAACGCGCATCCTTCAAAGCATCCAGGATCGTCTCCTTCTCATCAGAGCTAATCTTTTCACTCAAGCCCTTGTTGTTGCCCGAGCCCTCCGCGGATGAACGCATGGAGTGGATGTAGCCATCGAAGGCATTCCTAGCGTCCACACGCTCTTTCACCTTCTTGTCCTCATCCGCAAACTCCTCTCCTTCCGGAATCATCTTCTGGATCTGCTCCTCGTTCAACCGACCCTGGTCGTTGGTGATGGTGATCTTCTCGCTCTTCCCTGTGCCCTTGTCTTCCGCGGCCACGTTCAAGATGCCATTGCTGTCGATCTCAAAGGTCACCTCGATCTGTGGCTGACCACTCGCTTCATTGAAAAACGGCACCAAATCTGAATCCTTGGGCACCCGACCCTCTCAGCAATGTACTTTTCTGGCAGCTGAACTGTAAACCTCGCAGAGGGACATTACTGAAAACAGCAGCAGCAGCAGCAGCAGCAGCAGGCCGCAGCAGGCCGCAGTCAGCTGAAAAAAGCGAAGACTGGGCAAATGTTTCTTCTCCAAAGAGCGATGTGGCGATGTGTCCTTCCTGTCTGAGAGCGATGCTGTTCGAGAACATGCCCAGCTCGGCGGTAGGCATCCAGACCTCAGTTATTGCGACAAGACTTGAACACAGGAAGCAAAGCGAAGCAAAGCAAGGCGAAGCGCGAAGCAAGGAATCTGGAAGCTCCCTGCACTTACCCAAAGCTCTCCCATTGTTGAGCATCATGTGCCTGCCTGCAGTTCAGAATACTCAAGAGCGAAGGTGAGGCTGACTCCAAAAAGTAAGACTTCGCAAACTTCAGGAATATCTCTAAGCATGTTACACAGGTCTGCGAAGGATTGTTGCAGGACTTCCTCATCTGTCACGGGACCTGGAATCTGCGACTTCAAAAGGAAGCAGACGTGTCAAATCAACCCCTTCCCGCCCACAGGGTGGCGATGGACTTTGCAAAAGCTAAGTGTGATGTCAGGGCAGGTACTCTGGTGTGAGTTACTGACTGAGCCTTGAGTTTCTCTGTGCTTGGTGTCATGTGGGTAACTCTGTTCCAAGCTATTGACACTCCACAAACAACAGGGAGCGTGGAGCATGGTTGCAGCGGCTGCATCATCATTCGCATGCTGCGACGACCGCATGCGACGGATCGCACCGCATGCCTTCCTCTGCAACCCCTTGCATCAGGCATTCAACCTGCAAATCTCGCTCGGCAAAAGGATGCAACCTCGTCATCAAGGCTTCCAACCTCCACTGCGCGGGCAACACAGTGCATGAGAACCTCATGCATGGGATGCGCACACATATGCATTCCAACTGAAAATGTTGATCATAGGGCCAGTGCATTTGGCAATTCCTGCATTGAGAGCTCATGGCCCGCTCCACGTTTGAATGCCACCTGTTGAAACCAGCGTGTCAAAGGACTTGGACTTAGCCACCATATTCAAAAGCCACGAGTAGCGTTGAATGGAAAAGGCATGAAAAGGTAATCCCTGTGATTTACAGCTTGAACTCTCCCTGGCACTGCACCTTCAGGTCGTCTTTCTCCAAAAGTCCAAAACCTAAGTCTTTCGGCTTGGCCAATTCTCTGACTCTGGGACAGTCCTTCTTGCACAAGCCAAGTCACACTCCCCCATGAGAAGAAAGCCTGCTAGCGTCATTCCTCCACCTTGGATCAAAGAATCCGAGTTCAATGAACGGCCAATGGGTCAAGCGAGACCGAGCTGTTGAACCTTGGGGGCCTTGCTCGCAGATGGCTTCCACCGCTGGAAGAATTCAAAACTTCGCCGGAAGTTCGGCTCCCATGCCTCGCTTCAGATTCTGTCTCAGTCTGCAAGGTATTAGTGACTGCCTTTCGGACTACTGTTCCAACAGTGCCCCAAAACACCGAAATAGCATACTAGACTCCATCGTGGCAAATATGGTGTTGCAGCAATTGTCTGGACCCTGCTCAGCAACCTCACGAAGAAACCAATAGAAAAACTCAAGCATCAACTCGTCCATTAGTTTTCAGTTGTCTGGGAAATTGCTTTTCAACCCATCAGTAGCCAGAAGCGCGCCGCATGGCGAAAAAAGCATCAGAGTCACTTCTTTGAGCGTTGCAAGTCTCTGACATTTCTGTTTTAAGTTGTGTGGTGCCATATGCCTTTGTCAGATTCTGGACAGGTTCGGAACCTCAGAGCGCACTCGCACTTGGCAAACCGGAATAATATCGGAGGTTTGACAAACTCATGAAACAAAGGACAAAGCCTTCGGCCTGCGGGTTGTGGAACAAATTGCAGCCCATCAATTGGAAGCCAGCACAATTGTGGAGGAATGAAGGCGGTGATGTCATATAGTAGCGTCCTTGCTCCTAGTAGTAAGGCCAGGAGCCCCTAGTAGCATCCTTGCTCCTAGTAGCGATGCCAGGAGCCCCTAGTAACTTCTTGTTCCTAGTAGCGATGCCCTTTGCTCCTACATTTTCGTTCTGTTTCGCGTATAACCAAGGTCGCTATTCAGACCTCTCTTGTCCGATGCTGAGTGCTCTGCTCACGGCATGCTGCAACGCTTCTTGACGAACTTTGCCTTGGCTTTCGAGCTACTAGTAACTAAGGGCATCGTTATTAGTTCAGTTTCCCTACAAATCTAGGAACCAAATATATAATTAGTGCGAGCGCTTCTTCAAGGAAGCTTCTCTCGCCGCCTTTAGGGCGGTGCGGGGAGCTTCCTTGAAGAGGCATGAGCTATCCTGTGTCCTAAGTAATAGCTACTTAAGCTACTAGCTACCTACCTACCTCTAGCGGCCTACCGGCCTACCCCCCTGATCAAAAAATAAAAGAAAAAACAATATATATATATATAACATCTATATATGGACGAACATCTATGGACTGAGGGCGCCTTCTTCAGCAAAGGTGTGATGCCTCTGGAGAATTCGTTGCCGCCTCAGCTGAAGGCATCCAAACACGCCAAGCGGATGTAATACCGCTTGTGACTAAAAGAGTCGCTCGAACAATGTGCGCGTGTCATCCTTACGCACTTGGCTTGGTACACGGCTTGATTTGCACCTTATCCTTGCCCAATACTGTGGCCACTCAACACTCCGATTGCGACCTCTCTTGGGACGCGTTGCGCTTTTGGTTCATGCGTGTTTTGAAATCCTGCTCTATTTTGGAAATGGTTTCGAGAGATGTTGATCTTTCCCACCACCACCACCACCACCACCACCACGACCATCACGACCACCACGACCTCTACGACTACTATGATTACTGCAACCACGACGACCACGAGGACAACCAATACCACCAAGAACACTCTATTATTGTTCGCCGATAGTAAAGTACAAGAGCCCTCCAAAACTGGGTCAAAGGCTTCACAGTTACAGCTTCTGCAGGTGAGAGCTGCGCCATAGACACCGTCGGAGGGGCCTCTTCCTTGGCAACATAATGCACTGCATGGGTCAACCGCGCGGAACGTGATTAAACATACCCGAGAAGGGAGGGGACGAAAGCCAGCCTCCGTAAGCAGACATCGATGTGGTTATGGGGTGAAGTCGACAGCGCACTTCAACCTCTGTCAGGCATGGGGAAATAGAAGGCAGAGGGGCGCAAAGTCTCGCATTGAGGGTGGATATGACAGGCTCAAGTTGCATAAGTCGGTCCAGTCTTGGCCGCACACCGACTTTATGATTCCGATACAAGACGAAGAAACGAACGGCTGCCAAACACCCCCTAGTGGTTTAGGGGTGCCCTTTTTCAGTGCAGGAACGATCTCACAAGGAGTTGACCAGGCCAACCGGGTGTGTCCATCCAGTTGCCGTCAGAAGCGGCGAGACCCTGCGCTGGCTAGAATCTCTTTCTCCTAGAGAAAGCGTTCAGACAACTCAGACGAATATTTGTGGGTTTAATCCATACCACTGCGTCTTGAAATGGGATCTCTTGGAAAGACATAGAATGTAGTCAGGAACCTTTAAGTTGTGAAAGAGCCTGTTACCCGGATGAAAAGGGCACCCCTCTGAGCTTTTTGTACATGTCCAAGAGAGCCCGCCTTTTGTGTAAATCCAAGTCTATATGATCACACCTCATAGCGAAGGATGGTTGACCCAGGCGCTATGCAAATAGGTTCCACTCTTATCAGCCACAAGAAAACAGAGGGCTGAGACGCACATCTCAGTTTCCTGAAGGAGTTCCAGCCACTTTTCAGCGTCCCCCCGTTTGTCCCCCTTTCCTGTCCTCAACATGAGACACGAGCTCCCAACCCTTGTCGAAGACTGTTTAAATAGCCCCTGAGCCCGTCATGATGCTAATGGTGCACTCTTCGCCGCCAATTACACTTGCGTCACAACACCCCAAAAACCATACATTTCCACTCCCATTCTGACCCACTTTCTTTCGCTCTCCCCCACCAGGCTCTGGGCTCGCCCTCCCAGATTGATTGGCCTCTGCGCGACCCTTAATACTCACTTCGTTTGCCCATCGACAAGTCCAGCCTAGCCTATGGCCTATGGGCTGGCTTTCGTAATTGATTGGCTCAAAGAAACAACAAGTATACAAGCAGTTCCCGGGCAAGCCGGCGGCGGAAGTTTCCTATAAGAACAAATTGACCAAATTGACCTACAAAAACTCCGGAACATGAACCAGGTACAAAATGGCAGCGGTATGGCAAGTCCACGCAACTGACCGCAAATCCCAAATCGTAATTATGCCATGGAAAACGCTACTGCTATTGCTATTACATTTACCACTACGTACCACCGTACCTATCTACCTACTGACCCACATGTCCATACTCTACATATACCTACCACCCGACCGACCAAGTCACCCGCTCCCAGTCCTGCCCTTCTTCTGATTCTGAAACGCATTTCGCGCGAAACCTCCTACAAATATTGAGGTCTCCAGAAAGTATAATCGACATGAGCACTTTTGAGTAAGCAAAGTAGCTAAAATTTGTCAACCTCTCAAGAGAACTAAAGTTGTACTACAAAGTCGCCAGTTCTCAGCTTCCAGCTCCACAGATTGCGTACTAATACTAAAGTTGTACTAGGAAGTCGCCAGTTCTCATCTTCCAGCTCCCCAGATACTCCGTCTACTAAAGTTGTACTGCAAAGTCGCCAGTTCTCAGCTTCCAGCTCCACAGATGCCGTGCCTGCCACGAAATCTGCACATGGAGGTTCACAAAGCGCTGTGCCTGCCATGCAATCTGCACATGGAGGTTCACAAAGCGCTGTGCCTGCCACGAACTCTGCACATGGAGGTCACAAAGTGATGCGCCTGCCAGGAAATCTGCACGTGGAGGTTCACAAAGCGCTGTGCCTGCCACCAGAGGTTCACAAAGTGCTGCGCCTGCCACGAAATCTGCACATGGCGGTTCACAAAGTACTGCGCCTGCCACGAAATCTGCACCTCTAAGTTCACAAAGCGCTGCGCCTGCAACGAAATCTGCACCTCGAAGTTCACAAAGTGCTGCGCCTGCCACCAAATCTGCCAAGTGAAAACTCTAACCACAATGAAGGGACGATTCCGACCATGATCCGACCATGACCCGAGACCGTCCCGCACACGTCGTTCCACAGAGCTTGACTTGCCAGCTTCGGAGCCACCCTTTCTATTGAAAAACACAGCATTTCGTGCGTCCGCTATCTCTCGAAAACGCATTTTGTATTGCGCCGGCCACGGAATCTGCACATGGAGGTTCACAAAGTGCTGTGCCTGCCACGAAATCTGCACCTGGAGGTTCACAAAGTGCTGTGGCTGCCAGGAAATCTGCACATGGAGGTTCACAAAGTGCTGTGCCTGCCACGAAATCTGCACATGGAGGTTCACAAAGTGCTGCGCCTGCCACCAAATCTGCGCATGAAGGTTCACAAAGTGCTGTGCCTGCCACGAAATCTGCACTTCAAGAAACAAGTGAAAACTCCAACCACAATGGAGGGACGATTCGAGCATGCATGACCCGCAAAGCTTGACTTGCCAGCTTCGGAGCCACCCTTTCTATTGAAAAACACAGCATTTCGTGCGTCCGCCATCTCTCGAAAACGCATTTTGTATTGCGCCTGCTCTTGAAACTAGAGCTAACTGGAGGAAACAAGGGCTAACTAGCTACCCGGAGCTGGAGCTATTGAAACTAGAGCCAACTGGAGCTAGAGCTATTGAAACTACACCCTAAACTGGAGCTAACTGGATGATGAGTAGTGCATGATGAGTGGTGTATGATGAGTGGTGTATGGTAAGTGGTGTATGATGAGTGGCGTA